CCTCTGCCCGTGCAGATGTCGTCCAGGTGGGGAGGCAGGTCCCCCTCACAGGGGCTCCCTACTCTGCCATCTTCCCAGAATCTTCCTGCCTTTACCTGCTGCATTACGTTTTGAGGCCACCCAGAATTGATGTTTGAAAGTGGCACAGCACAGGGGCCTAATTCCCCTCACTTCATGTCTGGCTAACTGTCCCATCTGTGCCTCACTGCCCTGTCACCTGCGCTCTGGTCTCCATTCTGTCCCGCTGGACCCTCCATCTGTCCTCTTAATACAGACAGTAGTCCTTAGAGTCTTCCCACCTTTACAAGAACGCCTGGACTCTTCTGGGCCTTCTGGACTCCCACACGCTTCGAGTCAACCTCGCAAGTCTCACCAACAGCATGAACAGGACTTGTGAGCAAGGGAACGGCGCTGAGGTAAATTACCTTGGGAGGAAGTGACACCTTCACCAACTATTTCAGTCCGTGAACGCAGCACATCCACGGGCCTCCATTTATTATGGCTCCCACCCTCCACCCCATGGTGCTGCCTGAAATACTCAGGTTTGCTGGAAGCAGCTCTCTGGATTCCCCTGTTTCATTGTCATATTTTCAAAAATTTCAGAAAGAATTTTTAAACATATGTTATTAGCATCTTGGGGCCATTTTCAGTGGGATGGTCCTGATAAACCTCACTTGCTATATTCCTGGAAGGAGGTGTTCCCTCCCAAGAAGGGCTATCGGCCTCAGAAGTACCATCTCTCCCCCTCCCACAGGGGCCTCTGGGCCGTGGCCCCATCTAGGAGCCTCCCATGGGCCAGAAGGGACGCCCCGTGGAGGCCTGGGTCTGCTCGGTGAGGGTGGCCATGCCACACTGAACGTCGCGGCTCACAGCTGACTCCTCGAAGGGCTCTCCCGGGGGATCCCAGCACCGGCGTGGTGTCCCCGCCGACGGGAGTGACGGCTGCCAGGGGGCGGAAGGACACTTCCTCCGCACAGCCACTCCAGGGCCGGGCACCGGCCGTGCTCTCTGCCTGGGCACACCGCTCTCCACCTGGCCCCATTCCTTCCTGAGAGGTCAAGGGGAGGACCGTCTCCATGACCTGAGTCACTGAGGGCTGAGGGCCGGGTCTGCTCCACCCAGACGGTGCCCCCCTGAGGCCCTGTGACCGCTGGGTGCTGCCTCCGTACCGGCACTCTGTGCTCTCATCTCGCTCCAAGTCCCCGGTCCGGCCCCGAGTGCGAGGCCTACTGCGCCTCCCTCCGCGCCTGCGGGGCCCCGAGGCCCTTCATCCCCTGGCACCGTCCCTACCTGTCCGGCACTGCGGTCCCAGGCAGGCTTCTGCCGTCGGCTGAGGCCTGCGTGTCACTGCCCGGGGAACCCAGCTCCACCCCCGAAGGCTTCCCATGCGACTCACAAGGGGCACGGGGGCAGGGCAGGTCGTAGCCTTTTCTAGAACCCCGCCAGGGTGTGCTCCACTCCGACGACTCGCTCCAAGCTGCACCCTGTGAGGGGCGCTGGCAGGCGCCCACGAGAGCTGAGTGACCTCCTCGCCACAGAGACTTTTTCCTCGGACTCGGGGTATCCTGAGGGCCACGTCCTTATTCACCCCGGCTGTCCAGCTCATCTGGGGCCTGAGGTCGGGAACCGTGGACGCATGGGGCATGGAGCTTCGAGGTGGGTCAGCTTTGTGGGCAGAGCCCCCCCACCAGCCCCGCGCCCAGGCCTCACCCGCGGCCCCTGCGCCCCAGTCCACGCCGCACGCACCCGCCCTGCCCGCACAGGCATGAATGCCACATGCCCTGTTCATTCCACCCACGTGAACCCAACATAGTGACTCATCGTTAGGTCCATACGTTTGCACTTTTCCCTTCGTACGTGAGGTCTTCCGCTTTATCTGTGGTGATGCCTACGGGTGACATCATCAGTGAGCAGTGAGTCAGGGCTGGCGTTCCCGGAGTGGATGGCTTCGTGCCCACACACGCGCTCCCGGCCACGCCGCGTGCTCGTGTCAGGGTCCTGCCTCTATCTGGGCACAGGGGAAACCGCGGCCACGAGCAGCAGACCGGCTCTCCCGGCTCCCGTCCCTCGCAAGCCAGCATCAGCATGAGGACAGCAGTGAAGGACGACGCTTGTCGGCCCAGAGGGCCTAGGAGGCGTGGCAAGGAGCGAGGAGTTGGCAGGTGGCGAGGGCAGCTGGCTCAAGAAGGGGACGTTTAGGAGAGGCCTAGGGAGGCCAGTATCTGTGCAAAGGCCCTGGGGCGGGGCTTGCCAGTGGTGGCTGGAGCAGGGTCGGGGAGTGGGTGTACGAGAGGATCGGGAGGCCCCTGCTGGGCGTTCCGAGCACATGAAGGCTGTGGCCCAGCCTGAGCAGGCCTGAGGGCAGACGCAGGAGGGCGTGCAGAGGCGAGAGCAGGACGCCCCAAGCCCCCGCCTCCTGCATCCTCTGTCCTGCCTCAGCACACACACCCCCACTCCTTCCGTCCCGAACCCCCTCTCCCGGCCGCCCCCCCAGCTGGGCCTTCTCCCACTGAACCCGGAGTCTTCCAGGCTGTGCCCAACGCTGAAAAGTTCCCGGGGCCCCGCAGTGACACACTCCATGTCCGCACCCCAGCTCACCACTGGGGCCCCTGAGAGGCGAGTGGAAGAGCCCTCCCCGCAGGCCCTGCCTCCCCCTCCCTCTCTGCCCCGGCGAGCGGGCAGGCTGCTCTGACATCTTCTCTGTCACCCGGGTGGAGGCGCGGGGGCCCCAGGCACTGGGAGGGAAGCTGAGCCACCTGCTGCCGACTGAACGAGCCCCCCAGATCCGTACGTGGGAGCCTGACCCCCAGTGTGATGCTGTCTGGACTTGCAGCCTTTTGGCAGGTCATGAGATCATGAAGTCATGAGGTGCAGCCCCCAAGACAGGATCAGTGCCTGGTAAAGAGGCCCCAGGGGCCTCCTCACCCCTTCTGTGATGTGGGAACACAGGGGGAGGGCGCTCCTCTCTGGACACCAAGTCATGGGCGTCCAGCCTCCAGAGCTGTGGGAAGTCGTGTCCACTGTCTACACCCCGCGTGCAGTGTTGTTACAGCAGCCGGGACAGACGGACAGAGAGACCACCTCTACTTTCACACAACACGATCGTGTACGGAAAACCACAGAGCGAGCAAAGAGGAGCAGAGTGGCAGCCGGCGGCACACGGGCCAGCACCCCCGACAACGACCAGCCGCGACAGCAGATGACAACCACGGCCTGAGGGTCACGCGGCATGTTCTCAGTGGCAGCCCGGCTTGGGGGCCAGCTTGGGACCGCGTGCTGCCATGAACCAGCCCTGAACCACCCTTGTGGGTGCCAAGGAAGGGACCCGAGGGCTCAGCCTGTGTCCCTGGGGTGACACGGCCACAGGCACCGGCCTCTCAGAGTAGCAGACGCAGAGCCTGGCTCCCCAGACGGCAGGGGTGTGGGTGTGGGGCCCTGGGGGGCAGCAATCTGCAGGGAGGGCCTTAGACATCGGGGCTCCAGGGGCAAGCTGGAGGGGCCCCTGGTGAGGACATGTGCTCACACGCAACAACAGCGGAAGCGCAGAGGGCCGCCTGCCTTGACGGCCGGCCAGATCCCCCCGCGTCCAGCGCCGTTGGCTGGAGGAGAGGCTGCACTCCCTGCGGACCTAAAACACCCTGCCAAGCAGATGGGGCGGTGAGCCCAGCCCCTCCCAGGGGCGCCCCGGGATCAGATGGACCACCAGGACCCCATTAAAATCAGGGCTTACGGGGCCACAGCCCCTCCCCCCCCCCCCCCCGCTGTGCCGTCCCGGCTGAGTGCAGGGCTGCGGCACCGGCGGAGGCCACCAGCGATCCCCTCGCCGTCGGGTAACAGCTGCTGTGGTTAAGGGACAGCCCTGAGCCCCAGATTTGTGTTACACAGTCACGCACTGCTCGGTTCTTCGCTCCCCAGGCCAGTCTCCTGGGCAGCGTCCCACCCGCTACCGTCAGATGCAGACTCCAGCGGCCGTGTCCTCGACCTCCGGCAGCTGCGGCTTCCTTCCCGTCCCTGCGCGGGGACCTGCAGCTCCGGTCCTCTGCTCCCACTGCGCGCGTGTCCATTCTCATGCTCTAAGTCACCACGTGGTGTTCAGGGCGGGTCGGAAGGTCTCCTGCTGCTTCACGACCGCTTTCCGTGCAGGCGGACGCCCTGGGGCTGCGCGCTCAGTCCTCACAGGCCGGACCCACGTCGCGTTCTTCCAGAAACCCAGCACGGATTTCTCCCGCTGCGGTTCCCTGGGCTGCCTTCCCTTCTAGCTCAGCCTCGCACGAGCTGGATGGGGGCCCCTGTGTCGGGAGCCAGGCCCGTGGCCATGAGAAGTCGGCTCGTCCCGGCGCCCAGGGCCACAGCGCCGGCTGGCACGACAGAGCGCCTGCCGTGTGGTGTGCATCTGGGGAACGTTGGCGAGCAGACGGACGGACCCCAGCCCGCCGCGCTGACGCTCCGTGCAGCCCCCAGCACCACCCGGGCCGTCTCCTTCCCACTGAGCCCTGCAGAGAGCGAGGCCCTGCTGGCGCTCCAGGCACCGTGCTTCTGGCTGCTTCGCATCCCGTCGGGCACGAGCACGCACCGTCCTCAGCATTTACAGGGACACGGAGCCAGGGGCAGCCAGCCTGCGGGACCCCACCTTGGGGACAGCTGCCGCCTGTGAAAGCCGGTCTGCTGCCCCAGGGCCATGGCACTGGTCCCTCGCAGCCCCTCAGGCATGCATGCGCCCTCCTGAGACCCACTCCGAGTCGAGTCCCCAGAGGTGAGGTGACGGCCAGCACCGCGGCTGCACTCCAGGCACCAACACAGGACAAGGGCCACCCACAGCACCGGGGCCTCCTCTCCGTCCCTGGAATCCAAGCCAATCCAATCTCCCATCTGGCACCTGCCTTTCAGGGCGACGCCCCGAGCCCAGCCAGCGGCTTTCTCTTCATTCACACACTCTCACAGGTGGTTTATTAGCAAGTGTATTTCAAGCAAAGTGAAAAACCACTCGGGAACAAAAACGGTAAAGTTTCACTGAAGGAGTTTAATTTTCTATTTTCATAGATACCATTTATTAAATTAGAAGGCTGATAAGCAAAAATATATTTTACAATTAAAGATAGATCTGGACTCTGGACCCCAACAGAAGACCCAGCAACGGCTCTGAGGATCGTCCCGCCAGCGCGCACAGAGCTGCCGCCGGAAGGGTCTGTTCGCTGAAGGAGGCGCGGGAAGAACCCGGACATGGACGCTCCGGCCTCACTGCCCGACCGCGTTGGGGGCTCTGCAACCAGAGGAAATGCCACCAGCCAGCTCACGGGCCCGAGGCCCCGGCACCAGCCACCCTGGCTCACGGGAGTCCACGGTGGCCACGCTGCAGCCGTGTGAGAAGCACGTCCCCTGGCCGCTTCAGACGCACTGTGACCTCCCGCGGGAGGAGCAGGCCGCCACAGGCACAAGCCCACAAGCAGGACAGCGGGGACCGGAGGGGGAAAGGGCGGCCAGCACGGGGAGCGACGGCCTTCTGGGACGCCACAAACATGGTGTTCGCGAGAAAGGGGAGCAGAAGCGATAGGTTCAGGGCCCCTCCTGCCAGCTGAGGCCCCGTGAGCGAACCTGGTGCCCGTCCCTGTGGGAAGCGCGTCCCTAACACGCACACACATCCCCACAGCACTTAGGAGGCCCTGGGGCCCCGGGGTCCTGGATGTGTGTCCGTGAAGGTCACCCCTAGATGAGCGCTCAGGCCTGCCCACCACTTCCACCCGATCGGAGAGGAGTCTGCGCGCGGTCACGGGCCCAAACCGTGTGACATGGGAACGCATGCCCCGCGAGGGCCAGCGAGAGGCCCGGACCCACCTGAGCCGAGGCACGTCTTCACGGAGAACCCTTGCCTGGCATGGCCACCTGCCAGCCGGACACGCTTCTTCAGGCTTCTGTGCGCAGACCCCGGCCCACCACGCCCCCGCCAGTTGGCGCCAGCGTCCTCCAGCTGACAGGAGACCCCGCGTGCAGGGAAGGCTGGACGGAGCCCGGGCCTCACGCTGACCCTCCACGGCGCCCACAGCAGCAGGACTCCCCGCCTGCAGGCAGGGGTGCGGCAGTGCCCGACCGCAGATTTTCATAAGGTGCCCCCCAACCTGTCCCATCCTGGGGCCACAGCAGGAGCCTTGGCCGCCACGCGGCCCACAGCGCGGCACACGCTCCCCTGCCTCTGGGGAAGACTTAACATTCGCTGGTTTGCTGTTTTCGTCCAAACTGAACTCAAGACTGGTACACGACGTCCACTTAAATCAACGTCAGTTCTAAGCAACGGTTCCTAACGCCCTTTAATAAACAAATACAAAGTACGGCACCTCCTACTTTTCACCCTCGGTTTCACGTTCTGTTCCAAGAGCTGGTCAGAGAAAGGAGAGGCAGCCCCTCAGAAAAACACCCCACAAAGTTGGCATGAAACACAGCAGGAAAAGGCATAACGGGGTCCCTGGGGTGGCCCTGCTCCAGATCCCACGGGTGGGGACAGGCAGGTAGACGGGCATCGGTGCTGAATCTGCCGCCAGCTGGCGACACGGAGGTCAGCCTGCCCGGGACACTGGTGAACGGCCCTGGACCACAGACAAGGAGCAACAAGGGACGGACGTGAACTTGAAGCTTGAGTTATAAAAGTAATCCCAATCAGCTGTTAATGTTCTACGCACCTGAAATACAAGTCTACCTGACTAAGTAGAACAGCGCATGCCGCGGTCCCACCAGGAGGCCGGGACGCTCTCTGAAGCACTGGTGGAGGCAGGCTGCTCATGCCGAGTGCCCTCGAGACAGCGCGTGGAGCAGAAGCACACGGCACTTGAAGACACTCGTCCCCAAGCGGCAAGGGGGCGAGTGTGTGGACACAGGACACGGCCCACGTGCCTGCTCTTCTCCCGACAGAGCCAGGAGCAGAGCTGCCCACAGCCGCACTTGAGCAGTGGTGGCACTCGGTGGCCGGGGACCAAGGACCCACATGCATCCCAAACGAGGGTGAGGACTGGGGCTACAGAGGGCCGAGAAAAGGCTACACGGGGCTCCTTCACAGGAACGGGGGTGGGGTGGGGCCAGCAAGTGGAGAGGGGCCGAGGCAGGTGGCAGCCGGCGCCCTAGGACTCTTCGCCCATCTGGAGCAGGGAGTTGATGGCTGCGTCCCTGTCCCCTCTCTGGGCTTCCAGCACGGAGCGGATCACCTCCCGGTCCATGTTGGGGAACATGTCCTGGATGGCTTTCAGATCCTCCTCGCTGCAGCGGGGTTGGGCGCTCACGGCCGCTGGAGGCAGGGCCACGGGCACCACGCCGGGGCTGCACACGGCGGGCATACCTGCAAGCGAGACGTGGTTGAGGAACACACGATGGTACCGAAGAGCAGATGGAGCGCCCCGGCCCGTGGCCCTCCTCCCCGGGAGGTGCACGCCACGCTCTCTGCCCAGAGCCGGGATGCACCGCTCGAGCTGTGGTCCTTAAACTCCCGCTTCCACCACAGGGGCCCACGCTCAGGGCCGCGGGCCACAGTTCCCTTTGTCAGAGGACAGCCCAGCACATGGGACGCACAGCCCAGCTGCACCGTGTCAGCGCGCAACCGCGGTCGGGCCGCGCACCGGGTGGATCCCTCTGCTGCCAGTGAGGTAGGCTGCGCATGCCGAGTGCCCTCGGGACAGCGCGTGGAGCAGAAGCACATGGCGGGAGCACGTGAAACCCGAGAGCCAGGCCCGCACCCCTGAGCGTTTCTTACCACACGCCAAGCCGGGACACAATGAGGACCCAGCCCTCAAATCCACTGTCTGCAAGACGATGGAAACACTGAGCAGAAGAACAAGGGGAGGCTTCCCCAGACCGGGCACCTTTCACCGTCTCTTGGGAAATGGTGTCCTTCACACTCTGGGCCCCTGACCACCGTGCCTCCCAGGCACTACTCTCTGCCGGCCGGGGGTGGGGGGCACCTGTAGTCAGCCCCTCCCGTGGGGGCCCCCAGCTCAAGGGTTCCATCTGCCCTCTAGAAGCAGGGTCCACAGACACAGGCATGTGCACACCACACATCACTCACGTGGACACACACGCACACCCATATCGAAGGCCACACGTGCGCATGCCACACATCACATGCACGCACACCCCGACGAGGTCAGGGAAGTCCATTCTTCACCCCAGAGAAGACCGCGGTGCAAGCTTCATGCAAGCACAGGCAGTGGGTGCGAGTCCTTATTTGCAGGAAATGCACCAGGAGCCAGTGGGCGCCTCTGCCTCCAGACGTCCAGGTAAAAAGGACTTCCTCTCCTTGGGAACTTCCTGCAACTCTAGGTTCCAAAACTTACAAACGTGCATCAGAAGAGAAGTTCAAAGTCTCTGGGCCTTTCCCAAAATAAGCATCTTAGGGAAACCTTTAGCACAAAGTTCTCATTTACAAAAAGAACTAAGAAACCAGAAAAAGGCCAGTGACACGTCTGGTCTCCTGACAGAGCAGACTCCCAGTTAACGGAGTGCTGCTGGCTGTGTGGGTCCCTGTGTGTCCCCCAGAAACATATTTGAGGCCCCCGCCTGAGCATTTATGAACAAGACCTTATTTGCACGCTGGGCCATCTGGAGCAGGGTCCTGAGAAAAGAGGCCCCTGAGACATAGGCACAGACCCCAGGAGGGGCCTCGTGACCCTAGTGGCAGAGACTGCAGCGAGGCGGCCACAACCCAGGGCTGCCTGAGCCCCAGAAGCTAGAGGGGACCGAAGGGTCCTGCCCTAGCCCCTCTGCCTCTGGCTCCAGGGAGCACGGCCTGCCCGTGCCTCGATTTTGTGCTCTGGCCTCCGGAAGATTCCTGCTGCCTTAGGCCACCGCTGTCTGTGGGACTTCGTTGCAGCCGCCCCAGGGCTCTCATACCTTTGGTGAACCCCGCAAGGCGCCTGCTCGGCCTCAAATCTCTAACACATGGCACCTGAACCATCAGCTCACACAGACCCTTCAACCACCGCAGGGAAGGCGCCACTGAGATCCCAGGACAGAGGTCCTCAGGCTGACCTCAACACAAAGCAGAGGCCCACGGTGGCGCTCTGACCCAGCTCCCTGTACTGCGCCAGCTGGGGTAGGGGCCGCAGGGACCCGGGGCTGCCCCCCTCCCTTCTCTCAGGGATGGATCACCGACTCGCCCTGCCTGCCGTGGCCTCGTCCCTTCTGCCTACTTTTATGGCTGTTTATGGCAGGGGCTGGTGAAGTCCAGTCACTGTCACAGTCAGGAATGAAGTGAGCAAAGCTAACATTAAAGTTTGAAAACTCAAAGACATAAAACCTGCAATCTGACTAGATTTTGCTGCACAGCCACAAGCTGCTAGTTTGTACGGGGGAGTGCACACGGCAGAGCGGGAGCGCCAGGGCACACGGCTCACTCTGCCCCACAGGGTACTCTTTCACTTGGATGACTTGTATATTAACGGGTTTAGAAATAATGTTTCTATGCCTCCATCAACTTCAACTTGCCAGCAACCAAGAAAAAAAAGTTCTATATTCCACAGATGCATAAAATATTCAAACGTAAGACCAGACCCTTGTGTTTGGAAGGGTCCCCACAAGTCATGTGCAGACCAGGCTTAGTCTCCCTGCTGCACTACGAGCCCATGAGGAGAGCCCCGGGCAGGAGGCGCGGCACACACCTGTGATGGGCACGTAGCCGACGCCTTGCTGGTACACGGTGGGCATCAGGACCACAGGCTGAGGCGGCATCATCACGGCAGCTGGCAGCGACTGGAACACACCGAGGACGATCGCGGGGTCACAGAGGAACACAGCACAGCTGAAACCTCCCCACGTGGCCCCGCCCACACGGGTGTCCCTACACTGCCCCGGTGGAAGGCGGGACCAGGCGCTCGGCTACAGGGGTAGTTACAGAGCCACAGCCGACCGAGACGCGATCGGAAGGGAACGCGGATGCGGGAAGCAAGCCGGCACCCGAAACAATTCCTGACTGCCTCTAGACCTTAAACACTCAGCTGTCGCAGTCACGGCTCTGTGTTTACGTGAAAACTCTGTTAAAGTCGCATAAGGAGACATTTCTGAGCAAAATCACACAGGTGCTGGGGTTTGCGTTCAGACAGCCCGGGGACGGGAAGCGAGGACGAAACTCCACTGGCCAAAGGCCATCCTCAGGGCCCGTCCCAGAGGCAGAGTTAAAATAACAGGGACATCACCACCCCCTTGGGGACACAAAAAAGTGGCAAGGGCCTAGGATCCCAGGCCCCACCCCCCTGCCCAAGAGCAGCAGGCTGCTGAGGACGGAGCCGCGCAAGCCAGGGGACCTGAGGGCCAGCGGCTCCTCCCTCAAACCTGGCGTGGCCCTGAGACCCCTCGCTACCACGTGGCAGGTCTGCCTGGCCACAGGCTACCACACAACTCTGCTCCTCCCGCCAAAACTCCAGACGCCTGCTGGCCGTGGTCCCAGTCCGTCAGGGACAAACAGCTCCGCTGAGCCCAAGCCCCACTCAGCCTGCCGCACGGCCTGTGCCCGCACCGTGTAGGACATGACCAGGTTGATCATGCCCTCCTTGTCGTCACCCTGCCGGCCGCTCAGGCTGTACCACTCGTCCTCCACCTTGCCCTGCTTCAGGGACTCGGGGATGGTGACGTGCGTCCAGGCGATGCGGTCGTCCATGGAGAAGGCTCGCTGGGGGGTCACAGGAGGAGCTCGTTCAGCCGCTGCCCAGAGGCCCCACCCCCGCTCTGAAATCCCGCCCCTGGGCCCGCCTCCTCCAAAGAGTGCCCCCCCCCCCCCCCCCCCCCCCCCCCCCCGAGGATCTGGGCCCTGGCGCTGTGCATCCCTCAGAGCCTTTGTTTGGGGACCTGTCTGGGACTGGGGGAGGGGAGACGCAGCAACACCGTCTCGAGAGCGCCCGGTGTCCCTGTCCCTGGTGATACGGTTTCTGAATATAAGTGCACGGGACGTGTACTGTCCTCTGCCGCTGGGGACACGGGGACACCTGTCACAAAGCACGGACGTGCCGCATCGGGGCACACCTGCAGCTCCGGGAAGCCGAGTGCGACCCGCGCTGCTGGGCCCGTGACAGGCGAGAGGGCCGCTCACCTCGTCGAAGATCTCCAGGTAGAAGGAGTCCACTCCGGGCGGCACCGTGCACTGGATGACTTTATTCCAGCGAGGGTTCTTGGCACCGTTGTGGGCGGTGGGCGTCTCGTACACCGCGTAGCCCAGGCGCAGGCGGCAGTACGGGTCCATGCGGGTCATGCCGTAATTCTTCGCCAACTTGGCCTGAAACACAACCAATGTTACTAAACAAGCAGCTGCCATCAGAGTGAGAGCTGCACATCCGCCTCAGCTTTCCAGCCCCTCCACCTCATTTCCAGCATTTTCCAGGAAGCAGGACATGGCCGCAAGCGTGTCCGTGGCTCTAGGTACGGCAGGTCACTGGTCAAGTGACGGGAGCCCCGGGCCTCACAGGGCAGCTCCTTCTCCGACGTCCCCTCTGAAGAGGCTGCGGAGGAGGGTGACAGGCAGGCTGTCCCGAGCCAGAGCCACCCTGGAGCCACAGCCCGGCTCCACTGCCTGTTCTCAGTCCACGGCCTCGGGTGGAGGAGCCCAGCCTTCACCCAGACAGGCCGCGTTCGCAGGGAGGAAAAAGCGTGGGCACGGATGAAGGCGGGAGGCTCTGGTGGCCCAGGCGGCCAGTCGGCACACGCTTGCTTCCAAGTGGGTCCTACTGGACTGTAACACCTCCTCACAGAACCCCACGAGGGCACATGAGGGAACAGCCCTCGTGGGCGTGGGGTGAAGACCAGGGGAGGAAGGGCAACCACACAGGTAGTGGGAAGCCACGGGCCACGCCTTGAGTCCCAGTGGGCGAAGTGGGCCTGCTTCGGGCCCCTGGAGCCCAAGCCACGAGGGTCTGGAGGACCACGCAGAGAGCGCGTGGCTCATCTGTACCTGAGGTGACCTGATCGGCCCGAGCGCGTGGCCAGGTGTCCGGGATGCGTGGTCACCGTAAAACCCACAGAATTCATGAGGCCCGACTGTGACTCTGTCCACTGTATTTGTGCATCTCCTCAAAATAGCGTGCAGTGACCTCCCTTTCTTCACGGCCTTACGGAAAGTCGTGCTGCCCCAAACCATTTTAGATCCTGACAGCACATTTGGCTTTCCTTGGGATCCGTTCAGCAGCTGGGGCCTGCCCTCATGCCCCCACCTTCCCGGCAGCCGTGCGGCCAACCACACGCAGGGATGGTGCCCAGCACGGAGCATGCGCCCATTACCGATTATTCCCGCTATTCCTGGTAGAAGCTGGGTAACTGTCGCTATTTTTCACACGTTATCACTTTTCACCAGCTATGTTTCAAGAACACACATCAGAAAACCATGCATCCGCACAGAAAATGTGGTGCAGCGGCCGCAGGCCGTCCCTCCCCACACAGGCCACCCACCTGCACCACGGTGATGCTGAGGCGGCCCACGGCGCCCAGCGCCCCTCCATACTGCAGCTGCTGGGCTGCCTGCGCGTCCAGCTGCAGCTGCTGCTGCGCGGCCGTGGGCGTGATGCGGAGGAAGTCCTGCGGGAGCTCGCCGACGTACACCTTTGGGGAAAGCACGCTGTTAGTGGGGTGGGAGCACGGCCTCTTCATCTACACGGTCAGGGGCCCCGGGGGGTGGGGGAGTCTGCAGCCCAAGCGCCCTGAACCACCACTCTGCCCCCACCCATGGCGGCTGCTCCCAGGCCAGGCGCCCTTTCTCTTGGGGGAAACGAGTCGCAAACCAGCCTCCCAGAGGGCTCACCACCTGCTCTGGCCACTAACAGTGGACTCTGGTGCTCACAGTGGCTCCCTGTACAGGCTCATGCCGTGCCCAGGTGTCACTGCCTCCACCTGCGAGCCCGAGATCTGCTTCCCCTGCTGCCATCAGCTGCAAGGTGCTCATTCAAACCAAGGAGCAAGAGGAAATCGGAAGCTTGGATTTCCAGATGTATGGAAACCCCTCCATGCAGATGAATTTAAGAACCTTCGATTCAAACAGTTCAAGCTCAAAACTGGCCCAGAAGACAAAAAGAAGAGACGAACAAGAGGCCCCAGACACCTCACCCCTCTGCCTCTTGCTGAACCCTCTGTCCAAGGGTCAGAGGGCCCCTGAGAAGGGCCTAGCTCCCAGACAGGGCGGGGACGTGCCAGGAGGGGGACTGCACAGAGACCAGAAGGTTCCAAGAAGCCAGTCTTCCATGAAGGAGCAGCGGATGAAGTGGGAATCAGTCGCGACATATGGTGGTTCTGGCCCGGGACAAGGCTCCCCCTGCAGACTGGAGCAGAGGGGGTGGCTGTGTCCCTGGGCCAGCCGAACAAGGCCCCACTGGGTGTTCACCACCCCGAGCAGCCTCACTCCACGCTCTCCCTGGGTTCAGGGTCTGGACTGCCCGGATAAACAGCTAGGGCAGCCCCGGGGGCCACGAGCTACGGCACAGGGCCAGCGCCGCCAGGGTTCCCCCTCAGTCACCCCACAGGGACACCACACCGGACTCTGGCCCAGAGCCTTCAAGGAGTGTTATTTTCAGGAAATGCCAAAAGGAAACCCCCCATGTGTCTGTGAGTTGGGGCAGACTGCACTTACAGACAGTGGCCACTAGGGGCCACTTCAGACATCCACGTGCCCAATACCCTGAGGCTTTTATGCCTGGAGTTCTGGACTTCCCGATGGACTGGGCATGTGGCAGAATTCCAGAAAGCTCCACACCCACTGAGCTCACAAGCACCACTGGGAAGGCATTTCTCCCCAAGCACCTGGCGCAGTTTCATTTCAAACGTCCCTAGAAGGGTCTAGGTTCCTGTCTGTGTCCCCATCTCAGGCCTGGAGACCACGCAATCCAGGCCTCGAAACCAATGGAAACCAACTCGGGACCCCGGGCCCAGGGGCCCTCCCGGCCACTCCCACCTCAGCAGCTGGTGCCCCAGCAGCATTCCTCTGCAAAGCATAAGCGACTTCTCCTGGCTGCACCCCACACCCAGCCCTCCCGGGCTGGGACACGTGGGTGTGACCTCTGTGCTTGGGGGGGGCAGCGCGTGTCACCCATTCTCGTCCTCTGCATCGGGACCGGGCAGCCTGGTGGGGCCCCAAGTACTCGCTACGGACTGAAAGGAAGGCAGCAGCGCCCAGGAGGCCCAGCGTCGCCAGGTGAGGAGCACACTGCCTCGCAGGGGCCTCAGGGGCCATCCCTCCCCAGGTATGTTCCCCAGCTCACAGGAGAGCCCAGGGCTCCCCTGACAAAGAAGGACGCTCCCCCTCCCAGAGGGCTGAGATGCTGCGCTGGCTTCACGGCTCTAAGATTGACGCCAATCGCCAGTGGCTGTGGGCAGGCAGGAGCCGCACCCCAGCCCGAACTCTACCCATGACACGGGGCCGGATGTGGCCCTGCTGACCGTCCCTGGGCCTCGCAGCCTCCGCTCGATGGGGCTCTGGCAGCTCCACCTGCTTCCGGGTCTGGCACATGACTCGTGCTAACCACGTGGACCACATTCTCGTTCACTCTGAGAGTAACTGCTCACCCCCCTCCCCACATCCCGCAGCTCTGAGGACCCAGCAGGGTGGGCTGTGCCCTTGGGGGGCACACAGGCAAGGCGCACACATGCGTACACAGCGACGGTGGTGACAGTGTGCTGCTCAGGCACGGGGGTCGTATGTCTGTCTCCCGTCGTCCCCTCATCAGAAAAGAACGTCTAGAACTCATCTGGGTTTAAGGAGGACACGCTGCTTTAATGGGGGGGAGGGGATAAAATTGTACCGAAGACCAAAGATATAGTATTCTTTTTCAACAAGGTTTTAACCATAAAAAGAATGAATGTGAGATGAGGATTTTTACAACATAAATTAACAGTGCAAACAAAACACGGGAAGGGAGGGAGGCAGAGTCAACAAGCGCCGACAGGCTGGGGGACACCAGGTTCTGGAGAAGCTGGGAGGACACTGGAGAAGCCCTGTGGTCTCCTCCCACCTGAGGGACGCGCTACAGAATCCCTGAGCAGCAGGCCTCAGGCTGTCACGGTCCCCAGAACAAGCAAAGTCTGAGATGGCCCCAGAGCACAGGCCACGAAGGACCCACGGCAGCTGAGTGGCCACGTGGGGCCCTGGCCAGAACCCGAGCCCAGGAGGTACAGGGAGGAAAACGTGGGGCAATCAAATCAGCCCTGGAGCGGCAGCCACATACCCAAGCCAGGTCTCTGGCTGTGACCAGTGGACCACGGTTACACGAGGTACGAGCTCACTAAAGCTCTCCATACTATCTGCGCCTGACCCATAACTCTAAAATTTCAGGTTTACTAGAAAAAATTCCAATTTAACTAAATGAAGAAAGAGGAAGCACACAGTGCTTCACTTCGTACAAAATAAAAATCTTACAAAATCTCGGTTATGCAACCAGCACCCGCCACCAGAGCCGCCAGACAGGCCCGCCCGCTGCTGCGGCCCCAGAGTCTGTCAGAGCAGGCAGGTTCCACCACCTTAACAGGTTCCTGCTCATGACAAACTGGTGACGCGTCATGTGTCCCATGCATGTCCCGGCGCCGACAGGAACCTTACTGCCCCAGTGACCGTCTGCAAAGGCCACGCTAACAGCTGTATTACTGATGTGTATTAACTTTTTGGGCTCACTTTTGCCACGTTACGATGGAGAAGCGTCGCATAAAGACACATGCCCTCTCCCGACTCAAAGACGAGAGAGGGGCGCCTGGGTGGCTTAGTCGGTTAAGCGTCCGACTTTCGCTTAGGTCATGATTTCGCGGTTCGTGGGTTCGAGCCCCGCGTCGGGCTCTGTGCTGACAG